CACCAGTTCTTTTTTCTCCATTTCTGGTAAATGACGTCCAATTTTGGTCACGTTTTCCGATAACGAACCAAGTTGTAGATCTTCTAGCTCTCCGTCAGGCTGGGGTCACGTATCGCGCAGATCTTCATGCATGTCTAAGTCAGTCATGTTGATCGATGATTTGCCTTTCTTATCACAATGAGTTACTGACTTGACTCGTAAGCTGGTGTTGTAACAGTTTCGCGCTGCTTTCTGATCGCCTCTAATGGCAACAACAACACCAGTGGAGTCTTGAAACTTCATCAAAAGATGAGGCATAGAAATGATTGCCTTTAAAGTGGCAATGGTAGGATGACCCAAAATGACGTTATATGTTGACGCATATTCAATAACATAAAAGTGTACTTTGGCAGTACGAGCCAGAGGCATGACCCCAAAGGTTACCCACATTTCTATGGTACATTTAGGTTGTACACATTCACCGGAAAAACCGATCAAATCTGTGCAACCTGGAATTAGATGTTCTTCTGGGATGTTCATCGCGCGGAACGTATCCCAGAAGATTATGTCAGCATAACTACCATTATCAATCATAATTTGTTTTACTTGGAGATTGGCCATGCACGCAGAGATCACCAATGGATCGTCATGGTCTGAGATGATGTCGCCATAATCATCATCGTCAAAACTTATGGATTGACGCTTGATGCGGGATGTGGATGGCTGTGCATGATGGCGAACTGTCATGACTAATTTCAGATGTTTCTTACGCTGCGAGCTAGTTGCTCCTCCTCTGGCAGTTCCACCAACGATGGTGGCTAACACTCTGGTAGCATTATTGGGCAATTGGTGTTGTTGTGCGGCCTGCTGTCTATCCTGCACTCGAGTTCCTTGACGTCTATCAGTGGGGACATTGCGCGTGTTCCTGTTATCATTATTTCTGATAGGGTTGTAGTCTCTCCTGGGATATGTCCTTTGTCGGTTAGGATTTTGATCACGATCAGGACTTCTATCGCGCCTTCTTTGTGCCTTATATTCTCTGGAACTGGAAATGAATTCTTGGAGTTTACCTACTCTGATAAGTATTTCAATGGTGTTTTTCAAGTCAAAACACTCATCAGTTGTATGATCGGTATCATTATGGAACTCGCAGAATTTGGTTTCGTCACGTTGTCCTCCTTTTTTCAAAGGTGGGGTTTAGCAACACGCACGTAACCAGTTTGGAAGACTTCTTTCAAGATTCTTCTTCTGGATGTATTCAGGGGAGTGTAATTATCAAACTTTTCCCACTTTCTTTTCTCGCGAAATCGTCGTTGAAAATTCTTTTGGACATCTTTCTCAAAATGGTCCGATTCTGTTTTGGTGCCAAACGTATCCAGTGACCGTTTGCAATCTTCAAGATTAATGAATTTTTCAGACCGCGATCGTAGTTCCTCTATGGTTCATGGGCGTTGTTTGGCCATCGACATAGAGAAAGGACCCTCAAGCAATCCTTCTATGATAAGATGTAGGGAAACTTGTGGATCTAAATCTCTTACTAGGAGAGCTTCATCAAAAAACCTATTAAGGTAATCACGGAGAGTTTCATGTACTCCTTGTCGTACAGTTTTCAAGACATGTGTGGATTTATATTGCGCTTTGCTTGTTGCAAACCGTACAAGGAATTGGTTGTTAGATCCTCCCAACTTTGAACTGAATTAATTAGTAAAGCGGAATACCATCTGAGCGCCACTTCCTTAATGGGTTGTTGGGAATAGCCTGCAAGCTATATGATCAGCAACGTCTTGTGCCATCATGTTTGTCTGGAATTGCTCTAGATGTTCTTGTGGGTCTCCCTTTCTGTTATACTTTTCGGTGGTAATTTTTACGTCCCTGGGAATGGGGACGCTCATGATACGTGGGGTAAAGGGATGGAGGACCCGTGAAACTGTTCTAGAATTACCCTGGGAATTTTCATTGGTTTATTTTTCTTCTTCTCCTTTTTTGTTACGACCAGAAGGTCTAGGATCTTGTTTCGAATGTTCATGTACTGGCTCACTCTCGCCAGAATTCTCAAACTCCTTTTCATCTTCTTTTTGTTTTTCTTTTCCTTTTTTATGGTTTTTCTCTCTGGCTTTTTGTGATTTTTTCAATCGAGCTAAATCTCGATTCTGATGGACGATTTTTTTGTTTTGCTGAATGATGAGTCTCAGCAAGTGTTGAGTGGTGGGTGGGTTATCATGGTGCACAGATATGGGTGCAACCGACGAGGTAGTTGTCTCTTTTTGCTTCCCTTTGGAACCGTTCTGGGATTTGCTTCTGGTATCAACCATATTTTTAAATTATGAATTGATGGGTTCTAAATGATAGAGTCCCCACAGACGGCGCCAATGATCAGACCAAATACAATATGCGCTGGCCAAAGTGTACTGGGCCAAATCACACACGGTTGAAGTGAGAAGGCTTTTGGGTAATCTGTCTTTTGGGCTGTGGATGTTGATGATGAAGGTAGGACTTTGGTTCTCCTTTGGCGCGGTGAGCCTGACTGGGGGGGTACGTGCAATTAGGGGTGTTCATCAACCGATTCAAACCGCGAAAATCGAACCGAAAAATCGATAACCGAATAAACCGAAAACCGAAAAATCAAAAACCGAAAAAATTGCAAATTTTAATTGGATTGGATCGGTTTTCGGATGGGTTGATGAAAACCGATCCAATATATTAATTATCCTCTACCTACTTGTCCTTTCTCCAATCATAACCCAAAAATTTCTAAACTCAAGACCCATTAACTCATCAACTAAACCCAAGAAAAAACTTAGTCACGTCTCATCAACTATAGTATTGTTTACTGATATTTTTGTATTTTAAAAAAAAAAATTACAAAACCAATATATACAAAAGATGTTATTTGCACAATAATCATGAAACTAATTTTAGGATATTCAAAAAACCGAAAATTGATCCAATCCAAACCGAAAAAATTGGATTGGATCGGATCGGATTTGAAAAAAAATCTAAACCGAATGGATGATTACATGATCAAACCGAAGGAATTAGATTGGATGAGTTTTGCTTCCAAAACCGATCCAATCCAGACCGCGAACACCCCTACCTGCAATGACACTCCAACGCTCAAGTCAATATCAATGTCAGGTTTATGTGTATTCTTACTGAATTAGATTATCATACCTGGACATGTACCATCTGTTTATATAGTAGTTCTGATGCCGCTTTAAGAAGGCGGTATGCCCTCTGATTGCCTGTTCAATGGTTGTAGGTTCAGATAGTGCTTTAATAGCCTTATCTCTTGATGTCATGCTACCTTGATAGAGTGGTGGCAAGCTGGAGCTATCTTATGTTTACTTGTTTAAAGGCGCGGTGGACCTTTATTAGTTCTTGAGCTTGCTTCCTTATCTCTGAAGTTATGTTAAAGGGCAGTTACATGCACGATGGTGGCATCATGCCATGTGGTGCGCGACGTAAGCCATCGCGCCCCACCTGTGTCTTGTGGGTTTGAGCCTTTGTTCTATGTATTTGGACCTCTGATGGGCCTATCATATTTTATCCGGATCAATTTACAAAACTAATATGTGGATATATTTTTAAAAAATATTAATTATGTTTATGTTTTAAGAGATTTAAAATAAATATTAAATAAATTATTTCAAATCACCTAAAACTTCAAACTTTGAATGCAATCAGTATTTGAATTTTCTCCGAAACATGTGACACTGCGTACTAGTTTTTGCAAATTATTCAAAATTCAACAAGGTACAAATTATTCAATATTCAACAACTTCGATAAAACTCAACATGGCTCAACCTAGTCCAATATATTGAATTCTGTTACCTAGAACAAGAATTAAAAAACAACAACTACTTAAGAAGCTTAATGTTGATGCCGCCGTGGAAGGATATCTTTGACCCATTTTAAGCATATGTGTGGAACGATTTTTATTTTATTATTTTTAGATATAAACACTTTTTTTTTCTATTAAACAAAAGTTAGCTATGATGATGATTGCACATAGTTACGCAGTGCTTTTATCTTCCTGCGCTTTTAGAGTGTATTGTAGCTATCTTCGGTAAATTCCATAACAACTCTCTTCAATCTGTATTTCTAATTTTTTATTTTATTTTATTTTATTTTTGGTAAACAATCTGTATTTCTAATTTTAACTAAGCACAATTTGATAAAGTTGAAAAAAAAACTCTCCATTAAACCTTAATTCACAAGACTATTTCTTATATATTTCGCAAAGAAGTAATTTCTTGAAAACTAACATGTAACCTTTCAATTACAAGGATGTAATTTATGCTCCAGTATTGCGCTCTTGTCTGATAAAAGGGTAAAAAATAAAAATAAAAAAGAAAAGAAGGTACATACTGCCACCTGAGTTTATAGAAGTAATGAGTACAAATTGTTTCTACGTTTTCATCATGCAAAGTGGTCCCAATGGGTCCACGTGTGTCTTCCAATACAAAAATACCCTTTGTGAGTGGGGCAAGCAAGTCATTGAAATTGGAAGCTGTATCGTGAATTTGGATCGTGAAAAGTGATCGATTATGCTATTTAATCATAATCATTTATTTTCACTTATTACGATGAGATAAGAAAAAAATATATATATAATTTTTAAATGAATAATTATAATTAAATAATATGATTATATAATTATTATTTCACATAAGAAAATTCAAATTCTTATATTGTAAGATAAAGCAAAAACCATATATGATCTATCCATCAAATATCATTGGCAAAGACACTAAAGATTCTAGATTCTTTATTCAAAGGTTTCGAGTTTGAGATTTGAAAATAAAAATAAAAAATTAGGAGAGATGCTTCCTTATAAAGGTTTGACAAATGTTCGAATTAAATATAGTCCTAACTTCCTAAGGATAAAGGGGTGAGAAATTACAAACAAAAAAAAGCCCTCTGTCCCCTACTCAACCCCAAAAGAAAGAGCAATAGCAATCAGAGAAAAAAGTGGCTTGCAACCAACCAATTACGTCATCATTGTCTTCCCTGTTCATTTTCATGCTTCATCCTTCATTTTTCCACCTACTACCACAACATGCTCCTTATCAACGTCTTCATTTCCTTCCAAGCAACACACTTAATTGTTTCCTGAAATTTCTTCCTCCTTCTCTCCTTTTATCTCTTTCTCACTCACTCACTCACTTTTCATTCCATGTTTGTGCATGAATTCATGGATCCATCTGAAAAACCTCTTCAACCTACAAGGTCATTCAGTATATAACTATAACCAGGTTTTCTAACACTCTTGCTATTCATTAAACTAGGTGAGAAAACTTTGTTCAAGTTCAGTTTAACCCTATATACATGCTTTCTATCTGTCCAAATTTACACCTATTTGAAGCTTGCTTTCCAAATCAAGTTAGAGTTTTGATCAATCATATATACAGAAAAGTAGCAAGAAATTTAATTAGTACCCTCATTGCATTATTAGTTATAAACTAAATACTATCCCAATTCTGCTTCTGTTAGATTTCATTCTGGCAAGTTATAGAACAAAGTTTCAAGCAATAACAACAGGTAAGAATGGATTCTTTCAATCAGAATCATCAAACTACCAGCTTCAGGTACAATCCAATCTCGAACACAATGAACCATGAAGATGATGATGATGCTGAGTTCTCAGGGATTCTTGATATCTATGTTCATCATGCTAGGAATATTCATAACATATGCATCTATCATAATCAGGATGTGTATGCTAAATTCTCTCTTACTTACAACCCTGATGAGACTCTCTCTACCAGAATCATAAATGGAGGTGGAAAAAATCCAATATTTGATGAAAACTTGAGGATGAAGATTACCCATATGGATGCTGTTCTTAAATGTGAGATTTGGATGTTTAGCAGGTTAAGAAATCACTTGGAAGACCAGCTTTTAGGATTTGCTTTGGTCCCAATTTCACAAGTTTTTGGCAAAGGAAAGGTGACTGAAGATTATAGCCTTTCCTCAACTGATCTTTTTCATTCTCCTGCTGGAGCTGTTCAATTAACTCTGTCTTTGGACACATCTTTTCCAATCAATTCAAATGGGAATCCAATAAAAAAATCAGCTACTACTAGTTCATCCATATCTTCAGAAGTTGTTTTGCTTGATAGAAAAATCTCAGAAGTTATGTCTGACCCAATTGAGTATTCTAGAATTGAATTTCCTGATATCAGCGTGGTGACGGAGAACCAGAAAATGGTTTCTGAGTACTTCAATTTAGAAGGTTATGGTTCAGCTCCTAGGCCAAACACAATAGGACCACTACCATTTCTTCGCCTTGGTGCTTCTCCACAAGTTGATGATTGTGAAATGACTATGAATTCACCTGATGAGAATCATGAGTCCATTTCTCCAAATGAGAGCATTCAGAATTCTGGGTTCCTAAGCTCTACTACTACAAGCTTAAGTGATGATAGAAACTCAGCTGATTCACTTCAGAAAAAGAGTAATTTGGGGGGTGACACATCAAATTCTTTCAATGTGTCAATCACAGTTCAAGGTATTCAGAACTTTGGTGCTTGTCCAGATACCCCAACTTCCAAGAAAGAAAGTGAAGCCAGAGATGAAAAAGAGTCCAAGTTCTCTAGCAAGGAAAAGGAGATCAATAGTGATAAGAATGTAGAAGCTGAAAAATTTGGTCAAGTTTTTTCTTCTCCACTAGGGAATATCAACATGGAGACTGAGCAAAGTGCTATGCAGAAACAAATAGTTGACATGTATATGAGAAGCATGCAACAATTCACTGAGTCTTTGGCAAAAATGAAGCTCCCAATGGACCTAGACAAACCTGAGAGTGAAGATCGTGGTGATGTGATTAATAATCACAACAACACGAAATTAGAAATTGATAAGAAGAAAAAAGATGGGTCACGTGTGTTTTATGGTAGTCGAGCATTCTTCTAGTTATATCTTGATGCAGTAGCCACATGACAGTAGTTTTGTTATAGCAAGATATAAGAGTTTAATTTATTGTAACATTGGGTACTTCAGTTCCCTTAGTTATGTTTATGATAGATTTAAGTTAATCCTGTGTTGTTTAACCTCCCCTTTTGTTGATGGAAACAATCTTCTATTTTAATACACCACTCTACCCCAAAAAAAACACCTTCATGATTATGTATATGTTTCTCTGTAATGTAATCATGGGAATGCTTTTGTCAATGTCCTATGCCATTGAAATCAAAGAGCATTTTGAAATGTGTTTATGTACTCTATGTAGTAAAAATTAGCAAATTGTTGTTATGATAGCAATAGTAAATCCTTGTGCTGAAGTAAATTGCAAAATTGTCTGTTGTTATACTGTAATGAAGGTTTAGAGTTGAAACTGGTTGCTTCAAGCACAATTAACGGAGATTAAGAGTGTATTAAAAGCCTTTGACAATTTTTGAAAATCTGCTTTCTGTAAAAAATCTGCTTTCTGTAAGGTTGGCAATACTAATCACAACGTGACTTTTTAGGCCAGACTGCAGAAGTTTTCTACAAAGCAGATTGATGGTTTTAAAACCATATTGGAATGCATGCCAGCTCATCATATATTCTATCAACATGTCTTAATCTCTTTTTTGTTTGATACTGGTAACATTATCAAAGGGCAAAACGTGGTTCACGAGGCTGAGGCTTGCAAAGGTAAGGATAAAGGTGGATTCTACATAACTTTATCTTTATATTTTACAAAGAGGTTATTTCCCAAACTCAACCCCGTGAGCTTTTGATCACTTGAAATAACCTTACCATTGCTCCAAGACTTGCCCTCTAGGCAAACTATCTATAGCTACCAAAAATCTTACATGCTTTTTGAAACTTCTCTTGGATGCATTTGAAAACACCGGAAGGGTTTCATGCTTTATTTAGTAATGATTGGTGTAGAAAAGCTTGTTTTAGAAAACCTTGTTGTAAGCCTTAACCAATCTGATAATGGCATCTGTTATAAATTCCTTTTCAGCTTAACCTAGAAGTAAACAAATTTATGTGTTTGTTTTGAAGTTTTATTTTTTCTAGATGAGTCTCAAAATACGTAATATGTTTTTCTTTTGGGAAAAAAAGGGGTCCCATATCTTGATCAAAGGTTGAAAAATCAGAGCCGAAATGTGCATATTACATTGTAGTTCTGGTGGGTGGTGGGGCAGATTCACACCAATTTTGTCAACACAATGAGCAACAATTCCAAAAGGAGTGAAAGGAACGTACTAAATGAAAGGAGGGCAAGGAAAAGGAAACCCAAGATGTGGAATCCAATGAGCAATGTTCATATTGATTTAGTAGAAAAATGCTATTTATTTATGAGTTTAATGTTTCTACAATAAATATAGATAAGTTATTTACATTCGCTCCCAAAACGACGTCATTTTGGGTTGAAAAATTAAAAAATTATAATAAAAAAGACTATTATAACCCTGAAACAAATTATAATTACAAAAATACATTGATTTCCGTCTCAAAACGACGTCGTTTTGAGCTCAAGGTAAATAAATTATCTACATTGATCGTAGAAAAAGTGAAACCTTTATTTATTTATGGTAAAACAAGGTTTAAGAAGAGGAAAAATTTTCTTAAGACCTTTTTATCGACGTTCAGTTTTATCAGCTGAATCAATTCTTTCTAGTTAGAGAAATGTTAATTTACACAATCATAATCTTTAACAATTGTAACCATCAGGTGTGGCTCAATCAGCAACTAAGTTACCATGGATGAAGAGTTTGAATTTCTATTACTAATAGTAATAGCACATGTGACTAGAACAAATTTTTTTTTTTATAACTCTAATAATCTTTTTAGGGCGAGTCAGGTTTCGTGAGTATTCCCACGATTCAAGTGAAAAAAGAGATCCTCACAAGTATGAGATTAATTCACACTTAAGCGGTGTGATGATTATTCAACTCTAGTTTTAAAGGTTCTCGATCTCCTAAATTTAAACCCTGCTCTTGTGGCATTTCTTGCTTCCTCGAGCTCATATTACCACTTGAACCAATTTTCAAAATTACTAGGCCACATTTTAAATACTTGGGAAGGGACTAATCCCATACCTAAAGGATGTGTAGGCTTCTAATTAGAGAGAGAGAGAGAGAGAGAAAAATCCTCTCAATTGTATATTCATATGATTTAATCTAAATTTTAAGAGAAAAATGATAAGTAGGATTCTTGGATAAGTGTTATTTTTCAAATCCACACACATCATGAATTATATATGATCTATGTTGAGATAATTATGTATTCAATACTAGTATCAATTTACCAAATGATATTAAGTTTTTTGGTTAAAAAAAAGAGATAACTGTTTATGACTTAATTGCATGGCTTGGATTGGCATATTAACATGAAGTTTATTATGGGAATTACTTTAATTAAAGATGTTAAAGTATGTCTGACATAATGTAATTGTTTCAAGTGCTAGGAACATGATCATGGTGGTTGTTTTTTTTTGGACATTACAGGGAATCGAACCGCACACCTAATACACACTAAACACACCCAACACCACTAGGCTATCCCTAGTGGTTGATCATGGTGGTTGTTAGTATTAGTGTATATATTTTAAGTTGAAAATTAAGTGAGCCAATTTCGTTCTTATTAGGTGACTTTGGTAAAGCAAGTGGGTGTGGATATTCCTTGGTGGCTAAACAAAACGGAAAAGAAAACGAAAGTACATGCAAGCTTTTGGTTTAAGGAGGTTTTTCCTTCTATGTTGTTCTATAACACCTTATAGATTTGAAACACATAATTATAGTTAAAATAAGGATTAAATGATAGGATTAGTGAAAATCCTGAGTTTTGGGTCAAAATACGTAAAAAGGGTAAAATTGTAATTTAACAAATAAGTAACCCTAAACAGTAAAATTACAATATAAGGTCTCAAATGAGAAAAGTAGCCCTGGAAATGGATTTAGAACGAAAAAATGAGTGGTTAAGCAAGTTTCTGAAAATTTGATGAATAGTGTTTTTATCAGATGAAAATGAAGTCGTACAGTTGCACCGAAAACAGTGTCGAGTGAAATTTGTGTTCTAGGTTTGAGTATAAGTTTGAAAAGGTACATAAGACCAAGAAATATGATTATTGATGAAATTTGATGGATTTTTAGATTTTTGGGAAACGTGCTAACGATGCACATATAAGGCTAAAACAATGATTTCACTGAATGACAGGAAAACTCCGGATTCATCTGTTCAAGTGTAACTAAAAGACTTTGGTGAATATTAAATTTTGAATTTTATGAATAGTTTATGAATTAACTGGATATTAGTGGTTCAAGTGGATGATTTGAAATAACTTGAATGGTGTGAGGTGGCAAGTGGGACCACCCCACTTAAGCAACTTAAGCCACATTTGTTGATCACTATTCATGCTTTTTCTCCCCCCCCCCCCCCCGCCCCCTCCTTGCTCAAAAGCCCGCGGCCTATGTAGAGGAAAAAGGGAAAGATTTTGCTCCATTGAATCTTGATCAAAACACCTTGTGTTTCACATTAAATTTGAAGGAAATCACCCAACAAACCCCAACCCACACCTCCATTCCCCTTGAAAACCCCTAGATTTTGAGATATTCCCTACCCATCCTTGCAAAAATTTGAAGACATTGACACCATTGGAGCTTGTTGGTTGTGTTGTTGCTTGGAGATCATTCTTAGGGGTCTTGAACCTTGATCATTGGTGAGTTTCACTACCTATTGTGGGATATTCTTGTAGATCAAAATGTGAAAATCTAAGCCTATGTCTGTTGATTGGAGGTAGATGGGGACCTCAATTTGGCTTTGTGCATTAAATAAATGTGGCTCAGAATGATGAATTAGAGTGATTGAGCTCATTAAAATTACTGTGGAAAAAGTTTGTAACTTAGATGAGCATGATTTTGTAAAATTGGATTGTTAGATTATTATGAAATTGAGTTGTGGATTAGTTATAATGGTTAATTACATTATGTGCGGTGCATTAGATTTGTGAAAAATCTGAAGAATCAAAGTGATGATGGGGTTGCCACGTACACAAAGTTAATACACTTTATGATTTCACGTCAACATAGTTTTGATGATAACAAACAAACTCACAGAGGAATGCTCAAGGACAAAGCAACACTCAAAAGCAATTCAAGCATCAAGTCTCAAGCATCATGCCAAGTCCAAATGTCTCACTGGTATATTCATTTAGGACTTAGGAAAAGTTTGTAAAGGTGTGTACATTCTAGCATTGCATGAGCTCAAGTGCATTCATATAATTACCTAATCGGAAATTGCTTAACAACCTTGATCTAATAAGTCAAAAGTGCATCAAAAGGTTTTTTAAGTAACTTAAGCACGTAAGCATCATGGCAAAACATAATCACATATATTCATGGCCTTACATCACTCATATATTTTAAAAGAATGTATTTTCAAAGAAATGACAAAATAAATGGTTTGACATGCACAAAATTGGTTTGGAAAGGAACCTACATAATATAAACACTTCTAGACACTTTCCATAACCAATCACATGCTTTTCATATTGTAAAAACCATTTATGAATGAAAAGAAACTCAGAATTCTGCAAAAAGTGATTTGCCATGAAATATTCGGATATCAATATCCGGATATGTGCCCGATAAATATCCGGATATGTACGGATCACAACGGCTAGAAACGGCTAGGTTTCAAATGAGGTGTCATTATAAAAACCCACATCAACAGTAATGAACAGTGGACGATCATAGATCATTTATTGAACATTTATTACTCATTCTAGCCTATTATTGCTCATTGATTACTTGCTTTACTCATTGCATACACTTGAGCTCATCTTTCCTTTGAAGCTATACATCTATTAGTTCTTCAATTTGTGCAATCTGTACTTTGAGAGTACTTAGCCACTTTTAATCACATCAATCTTACTCTTTTTTTTTTTTTTGATAACATCAATCTTACTCTTGATTTGAGAGGGGAGTGAACCATATACTAGAGAGGTCACTAAATTCCTAAAAAATTGGAGTGAAAAATTGTGAGGCATCAAGAGCCCAAAGTCTTGAAATGTTGTAGAGGTTTGTCAAGCACCCTCAAGCTTGATAGTTAGTGAAAAGAATTGTTCGAGCGGCTCCAGTCTGGACGTAGGTCACG